GAGAGAGAGAGAGAGAGAGAGAGAGAGAGAGAGAGATACAGACGGAGAGAAAGAAAGAGAGACAGAGATTGCAAACACTTCCAAAGACGACACTCGCACAAACTCGCTGTACAAAGCACGTATCTCACCGAGGACTCTGACGGTAATTCTACGTGGTAGTCACAGCGGGCGCCCAAAATTACCAACAACATTACAAATATAAATAAACAGATCAATAAACCCAGGGAAGACGGTTTACATATAAAGAATAATTGAGTTGAATTAAAACTAAATTAAATAAAAGAACACTAAAGAAATGTCTAATTTATGAACATGTAAAAACAAACTAATTAATTTAAATTGCCAAAAAATCATTTTAAGAAATCCTGAAGTTTATTTTTTTTTAATTAAATAATAATAATAATAATAATAATAATAATAATAATAATAATAATAATAATAATAATAATAGTAATTGCATTTATATAGCGCATACCCATGCCCAAGAGGATGTTCTATGCGCTTTACAACTATTATTACCCCAGCAGACCCTCTGAGACCACTCAGAAACATTCTCGGCTTCTGCAGAAGCATACAGTGCGAACTGCGGATTTCACGCGCTCAAACACTATCAAACTGACAAGATCGTTCACTGTATAAATAAAGAAATAACCGAACAACTAAATATTGTTTAAACTTACTTCACGAAACAAGTAAATATAAAACACATAGGTAAATTAAAACGTCTCCAGCCCCAAGTTAGCGGGAGGTTTGCCTGAGGAAACACACCACTCAAAAGAACGCCATTGTAGGTAAACAATCAATATTAGCCTATATAAAAATAATACGTTTTAAAAATTGAACAAATCTTTTAAGAATTTGAAAAAATAGGTGTTTTACGCTCAAAAAGCACTCGAAATAAGAATCTCTCAAAATTGACAGTGGGGGAAAGCTGTACTCGGCAGTGTATCGGGTCGTCTTAGAACAAAACAATTTTACGAGAAATCTGACAGTTGTAGATTTTAAAAACTCGTTTATAACCAAGGAAATTAGCTTGAAATCGACCTTTACAATCAGGGATTTTATTTTAAATAAATAAATAAATAAATAAATAAATAAATAAATAAATAAATAAATAAACAAATAAATAAAACTGTATTACCATAACGTGTCGTTTGCTCTGTGTGGGAGGGATCTGACAGGTGTGAGTACATGTACATAATTATGTGTCGGGACACGGGGTTTACGGCGCCAAAAACCTTCAAATTCAAGAACTATTATTGTTACTGTTATTACTATCGTTATTATTAATAATAGATCTAATACCAATAATAATAATAATAATAATAATAATAATAATAATAATAATGATAATAATAATAATAATAATAATAA